CCTCGGGCGGACATCAATCCCCGGGGGTGATGTAGTCCAGCCCTCGGGCGCACATTTGCCGTGTGCGCCCAGCCCTCGGGCGACATCTAGTACATCTGACAGGCGGTCGAGGTTCCGTGACACACGTGGACTCGCGCTGAATCCAGTGGCGCTGCCTTCTTGTTGCCCAATTGGGACGACACGGACGACCCAAGGCAGTCGCAAAGAGCAATGTGCCGGGCCTTGGCGAGATGGGGGCGGTGGCGCGCCCCGGAAGGTCGGCGCGTGGGTGCGGTCCGTGCGCCGTGCAGCATCCGCCCGATCGAGGCGCCTCATCCGCGAGTCTAGTTTGTGGTCACAGTTTATTGTCCTTTCTAGGGGAAGATTTGACTTTTGGTAAGGGGTCAAACGGCGCCCCTGTCCCTTGCCACAGTAACAGTGCTGGCGCCTGCCATGCTCACAAGGTCAGGGATCGATGTTGCAGACAGTGCTGATATTCACTTGAGACACAGAGCCATACCAAAGAGCTATTGTGCTCAAAGCGAAAAAAGCACGCCTCGGTGACCACAAGTGTCGCAGGAGCACACACGGTGTGTGTTTCCAACCATCGCAACAGGCAACAGAGAATCACCACAAATTAATTCAGTTCGCTCAGGATTCCAGCCAATGACTTGTATTCTTCCCAAAATATCAACAAAAATGAAAACAACAAAAGAGCCAACCTTAGCCAGGGGGCATCACTTCTCGCGCCTTGAGCTTTCCAAACCTATCCCAATTCGAAAACATACGGCCCAACTCTCCAGAGCTCTACAGATCTCTCCATATCTCCTAACACTTGCCTGACCAATTCAATATCATATGCAAAACTGTTATCCTCTTTGCTTCCAGGCCAGAAGTTCCAGTGCCAGCTCCCAGCAGCAGCCATCGTATCCACTTTGGATCCCTGTTGCATTTTACACTTATCTGCCCAAAATCAGTACCAGCCTTTTTGAGATTCAACGACCCGGGGGAATCTGCGCTCATGGCATCTAAAGGAATGACACATCACCAGAGCTGACTGATCCATCATCCTCCATCGCCATCGTTGCCCATCGATTACAATCTCAATTGAGAGCCATCCACTGCGCCCACCTTGCCCCATCACAGAGGGAAGACTGGTCGAAATCATAGCCAGCACAAAAAATCCCCAAAGCAGGAAATACGCGATCACAACCACAACCCGCATAAATGCCTCAATTCACAGCTTCCACCGGCTCTACCAGAATAAACACAGCCCCACGAGGAAGCACACCACCAGCGCCGGCCGGGACAGTCCTCCCAACATCGATCCAGAACTTTCCCCTTGCACGGAGGCATCTGTGTCCACAAAGCAAATGAACTCCCCCTCATACAGGTTGTCTCCTTCGCAGCACCCCTGCGTGTCGCGGCACCGGGCATCCCAGGTGCACCAGAACTCCGCGCCGCCATCCGCGAACCCCTGGCCCGCCAGCCGCAGCATGACGTCCACGTGGCGCCTGCCGTCGTCGCAGTGCTCCTCGCTGAAGACTTGCGTGCCGTTGGGCATGCCGTAGATGCATCCCACCTCCTGCCACGGCGCCCCCAAGGGCTGCAGCAGCGTGGGCGCGAACGAAGACACGTGCTCGTGCCCCGCTTCCGTCGGGCACTCCCCCTGGAGCGCTTTCTGCAGGGGGACGCCAAAGAGCGCCTCGACGTCGCAGTCCGAAGACGAAGGCACCCACGTGTCGCTGCATATGCCGCTCCCGCACTTAAACTGGAACAAGGGGCCCACGCTCGAGCCCGTGACGTTTTCCCGCCGACCCACAGCAAGGGAGCAGTTCCTGATGGCGGCCGCCTGCTGACAGAGGGTGAAAATTTGGCCGACCGTGCTGGCGGGCGTGTCCTCGACGTGGCAGGACGGGATGCGGGAACTGTAGAAGATGCGCCCGCTGCGGTCAACGCCGACTCCTCTGAGGACGCCCGTGGCCTGCACCTCTGTCAGATCGCGGTCGTCGTGCTTCAGCAGCTTCCGGAGTGCCGCGCCCCCATCGGTTTGCCCGTTGCCGGAGTTCTGCGACAGCAGGAGAAATCGAATGAGCACATGCACGTCATGATCAACTACGGCACAGATTTAAGGTTTGGGTTGTTTCTTGAACTGACGCTTGAACACCATTGGCGTGGGCAGGCCGTTGTGGCCCGGACAAAACAGCCTGTACAGAAAGCTGCGGCACTTCCAGGTCTTAATTTGCGGTGATTTTTATCCTTCAATGTAAATTGAATTTGTAAGTGTTCGTCGGCTGTTTGGATTAGCACTTGGGGCCCTGTAACAAAAGACCACCGAGCACGATGCCCAGTTGCTTCTAACTGCCTGTGCATGAACGCATTTTGTCAGTATGTTTCAGTTTAGTAGAATAATCAAATCTTCACATCAACCACTGCAAGATCCTCTGGTAGAGGAAGTGACAACCTTCCTGACAGCTGTAACTATACCTATACACAATTGCAACTGATCCATCAGGCGTTTGCAATTTTTTCCCAAAATAGATTATTGCCCGCTCTTAACTGTCAGTTCGGGTTGTACCAATTTCAAGGAGAGTTCCATTGTAGCATTGCATAACAGCCCAGTGGTCGTGTTGACTTGCATTACGTACGAGAACCCTTGCAGCAAAACTGCCAAAAGTTGGCCCCAAGGCTTACAGCTCCAACAAGACAAAATTATTTCCCAACGCCATGCACCTTCTTTTGCTGCCATGTAACCTTGGGCTGGCGATGACTTCTTCTTTCTGTTGTTCTTTGTTAATCTTTTTTGTTCCATCCAGCATTGGAACTGATTAACTTTCACAACATTTTTTGGCAATGGTGACATAATGACGCATGCCACCAAACGCAACGATTCATTGGGCGAGTATAGCATGGAAAGTAGAGAGAATAAATCAAACAGAGAATCGTAAGATTGCCATTCACCAAGTACTGTTCACGACACTGGAGTGTGATAAAACTCCAAATTTGCAAACAAAACGCCATTCGTGCACACGAGGACCTGCCACTGTGGCAATAGAAAAAATGGCTATTGGAAGGCTATCGATATAAGGGTGTAATGTTACTTTTCGTCAAGACGCAATTTCACTTACATATGCCCACAAGGACATGTTTGCACGTATGAAGTCAGGTTTAAGCTGACTGTCATAACGCCACGGCCAAAAGCAACGAGTCAGGGCAGATTTGTCGTAAAAGGGTGCATCATGCCCAAAGCCATCAGAGGAAGAGCATATGTTTGAAAATTGGCACTCATGGGAACAATTCCAAAACTGATGTGCAAGCAGCAGATCATAAGAAGAACCTTCCACTGCTTTGTGAGCAGGTATTTCAACATGCTTCCATTTTTTTGGGACTAGATTTCCAATTGCATGCTTCAGTGAGACACAGCATGAGCCCCAACAGGTGTTCACACAATCAAGCACAGTGTTAGCTCTATATAACGTTGGCATTGACACACGGTTCTTCAGGTCACACGGTTCATGCTAAGAATGTCTCAACTGGAAGGACTCAGAAGAAAACGCACCAGTTGGGAATAGGCACTCGTAGTATGCAGTGAAATGATGATAACCGCCCAAATTCGGGCCGCAGTGGATTCTAAGGGCATCATTCCGAGCAGGGTCTGCAGGACAGAGTGAACAGCACCAGGCAACAGTCAAGTCTCCAAACACACGCAACCTCCTGATATCCATTCTTATGAGCCGGCCCACTGTTGGGTTTTAGACAAACAATGTTCATGTTGCTATGGTGTCCACTGAAGTGAATAGAACAATTCCTGGATAAAGCCGATGGGTGTACAATCCCTTGCATACAAATTTACATTATGCATGTGAGATACTCTCATTGTCTTCATTTGTCGTGTTGTTATTTCGACGTCCGTCTGCCTTCTTTCCACTCAGCATTGACTGAAAGCAGAGTATGCAGCAAAACTATACTTTCGCTTCTGCTATTGGAGGACAGCCAAGTGCCTGCCCTGTGTCCTCCAATTGCAACAGAATTAATGCAAAGACCACACAAACACACTGTACTTTTGGGACTGGGTATTTACATGATCACACGTTATGTGTTATGCTGCTACCTTCTTTCACATTGAGCTGATGATGACATGAAACATGGCTCTCACTAAATTTCTCACCAGTAGGCAAAGCAGCTCCGTGCATTTTTCATGGCGATCCCAGGCACAATGATGGCCATGAGATCAAAAGATAAAGCAACATTTGCTTGCACATCATTCGTCGCCATCTTCACCATCCATCGGCACAGAACACAGGCAGATCATAGGATAAATGCAAAGAGAAGTAGAATCTCAATCCTGAGCACTGGCAGATGCCTGCCAGTGATCACCACAGCTCTACCGCAGCCAGCTTCGAACGGTCATGCAGTCTTCCCCATTTCCATATCATGCTAATGCATGGCCAAGTTACAAGCTCTATCACATCACTGCGTCGCTCCAGGCTGTGATGTTTGAAATGAAATGAGCGTTGTGAATGGAAGTTGTGCCCTCATTACTTGAGCTTGCAAGGGCAGCATCTTTTCATATTTGAAGAATGCTTTCACAAGCACACAACAACTGCCTTTCATTGTTCTTTTCTAGATACTCCAACAGTTTCTCGCAGTACTTCAATAGGCCCTCTTCTGAGTCTCTGCAGGGCCGATGTTCAACGAACCACCCTAGAGGTAATTTGACAAGCATGGCCTGCCGATTCGTGCAACCAGCAGGCGAAACTCATTTGTTCTTTAAGAGCATCTTTAGAGCATCTTTATCGGTCGTTGCTATTGTTCCGGCGGAGCTATTCGGCTATTCGAATAGCTCCGCACGTCAAAAAACCATCATTAACGGTTGGGGAGCAATAACTCCCCAATAGCTCCCCCATAGCTATTCGGCTCCCAGCGGAGCTATTTTGGCCCCGAATAGCTCCGCTCGAGACCGAATAGCTCCCCAGAATAGCACCGGTGCTATTCGCGCAGCACTTGGCGGCGGCTGCTTGGAACAACGCGGAGGGGCCTTAGTACAGCGGAGGGGCCTTGGGACAGCCGAACCATGAAAATAGCACCCCCCGTTACGGATGCCCACGGGGTGCTATTGCTCCCCAAGGCATCCACCTTTTCGGATGCACGCCCGGTGCTATTGCTCCCCAATAGCACCGGCGCTATTTGGCACATGCCACCTTAGTAAGGTGGCACGGCAGCCAATGAGAACCGTTCCTGAATAGCTCCGCCGGAACAATAGCACCCACCAATAAAGATGCTCTTATGGGTGGGTGCTATTGTCCCGGCGGAGCTATTCGGCTATCCGAATATCACCGCATGTCAAAAAACCATCATTAACGGTTGGGGAGCAATAGCACCCCAATAGCACCCCCGGAGCTATTCGGCACCGAGCGGCGCTATTTTGGATCCGAATAGCACCCAAGAATAGCTCCGGTGCTATTCGCGCAGAACATTGTAGTGCTGCCATGATGCTATTTGGTGTAGGCATAGCACCCGCCATTGCGGATGCGCGCAGGGGAGCAATAGCACTGGTGCTATTCGGCAAATGGCGCCTTAGTAAGGTGGCATGTCAGCCAATGAGAACCGTTCCTGGATAACTCCGCCGGTGCAATAGCAACGACCGATAAAGATGCTCTAGCGGTGGCGACGAGTTGCAGAACCTCGGAACGTCGAACGTGCGTCCTCTGAGGACTGTCGACTCGGCCGTTGCTCGCGAGCCCGCAATTACAGGTGCAGGAGGCGACGGATCATTTCACGACAGTCCTGGGTGGCCATGCGTCAAATGAGTGATGGACCGTATGCAGCCGTACATCACCTTCATGAAACGCGGCGCGAGGGGTGACCCGCCCGACTCGGTGGCCGCACAGCACCAACAGGTCCGTCCCCATTCATGGCCCGCGTCCGCGTCCTGACCCGCATGTCAGATTGCCCCTCCGCCGCGCTTCCGCTGGCCACGGCATCTTTGCGGAATGACTGCTCTGGCACGCATTCTCAGGATCATGGCCATGTGGGGCCCGTCCCTGGGCACCTGACAGCTCGACACAGCGCCTGGTGCGGGTCGACTACCTGGATTCGCGTATCGAGCGCGGCGGCACCCGACAGACGAGCTTGCCAAGGACTAGGGACCTTGCGGAGCTTCCTTGGCACCGACACAGCAGCGGAACGCGCGGCGCTGCGGCCAGCCCCGTTCCCGGGGTCGAATCAAACGCGTGGCCCGCGCCATTCAAACGTCGCGCCTCTGATCCCAGTCGCAGACCGACCAAGGTCCCCCAGTGAACTGGGAAATTTTCGTCGAGCGTGCGCCACTCGACGGCCGGCCACAGCTCTCCTGATCAGACCCACGATCTCAAAATGCACCAACGGCCGTCGTGCCCCTGGTTTGCGCCAAGTCGGGCCAACTGCACCCTTCCCACGTCGGCCAAAAGGCAAACCTCAAACGAAAACTCCCACCGCGAGAATCCGCCTTTTCCGTGAAAGGGGGCTGCCTGGGATACCCCCCCTCATCATCCCTCAATCCCGTTTTGAGACCTCGTTACCTCGGCCACCGGCGCTGGGCGGCTGCCTTCAACGCGGGGCCGCTCCTGCCGAATATTCCCAGGGTCTCGCCGGGTCTCGCAATGGCCCCTAAGTCTCCCCACCGCAAACCAGCCCCCGCCGTTGTGGCCTCCCGTGGCGTCGAAGGCGGCGTACCGGGTGGCCGGAGGTGGGGCGGGGGACCCAAGGAACGGACGGGGATCTGAAGTTGCCTGGAAATCTGGTCGTATTCGATGCGCGTTGCTATCCGTTTGTTACTCCACGATGTGTGGAGCAGCTGAGTAACCGCACACGGGGACTGGAACAGCTGGTGGTAAGCAGTCGTCATTCGGAAACCACTCTTTCGCCGGGGTGGAGATGGCCCGGCACGGGCCAGCTCCCCGTGCCTTGCAAGTTGTGGCGCTGCCATAGGCGAGTTTCGAACGCGCGACACGTCAAGGGAGCGCCGCGACGCGAGGGGGATGCACCCACGGCCGCGGCAGGCCAGAGGGGGAGAGCCTGCGGCGCCCGGTTGTGGCGCTCATCGCCAGACAGCCTCGAGATGATGATCATGCGGATCAGGCGCGGACGCCCCCTGGCAAGGATCCGGTCAGACGACCCTCAATCTGTTCGTGGAAGGCGGCCAGGCCAGGTGAATGATGATCGCACTGGGCGCGACGTGGTGTGGAAGCACGCCGCGATCTATATCAACCCTGCTGGCGAAATCCCTTCGAGTGTGCGTTGGAGATGCACGGCATCCGTCTTTGGCAGCAAGACGGCCCGTGGGGAGCTCGCGCGCATTGCGTTACTTCAGTCCTTTTACAATGGGTCGCGGCCCCAAGTGGCAATCAATGATCCCAAATGCCGACCCGCCCTCGAGGCAGGCAAAATTCTTGCTTGTTGTTCGAGCTGTCAAGGACAGAATCTGCTTTCCCTGTTGGAAAGAATGGCGAGCCGGCAGAAACCTCGAGCAAAAGGCTAATGTCAACCTGCTCTTGTACACAGCCCTGCAACTGCTTCAAGCTACTCTCTCCCTAGTCCAGGAAATGGGGCACATCGTTCGCCACTTGCTTATGCACCACAGGCACCTGGGACAATCCTAAGGGAACCCAGCTCATACAAGTACAGGTCAGCTATACAGTTCAACCCTCTTTATTTCAGCCAACAAACACCTCGCTTGCCATCACCTTGTACCACAAATGCAAGGCAAAATGAATTCCCCACGATGGGCGCATCTCTGCGCACCTCAGAAAAGATTACTGGCCATGAAACTCCTCGATTCAAGTCAACTGCGGCTCCAACCCTAGGTACAAGAATCTCTATTTTGTTGCCTCCAAAACTCCACCAACTGGAGAAGGTGCTTACAATGCGCATAGATAGGTCAACCCGTACCAGCCAATCAACATGCTGGCCAGCACTACCAGCGCGCACTGTCCACCATTGGCTGTTGCGGCACTGGCCACCCCTCCCTGCACACCTCCAGGCTGGTAGCATATGAACTCTCCACTCGCGGACTGATCCATGTCGCAGCACCCCTCCGTGTCCCGGCACCTCCCATCCCAAATGCATCTAAAGCTTTCACCAGGCATCACGAAAGGCTCGTCTCCCAGCTGGGCAAACACATCCGTCTGGGGTTTGCCATCCTTGCAGGTGGAATTGCTCAGGATTTCGGTGCCATTTGGCAGTCCCAGTAGCCCAGCAAACATGTTTTCTACATCTCCCACTGGCAACAGGCTGGGCGGTGTGCTGAGGGAAGGCCCTGATGAGTTGCCCATCCCCATGTCCCTATTGCTGCACATTTCACGAGTGCTGTTGCTTGCTGGGGCCCCAAACAGGCTGTCCAGGATGCAAGCCGTCTTCTGGGGCGGCCAAGACTCCATGCAGGTCTGATTCTCGCATGCGAATTGAAACAATGGACCACGGGCTGCATCAGCACTGCCTTGCAAGCTTTGTTGCTCTTCGATGGAGCAGTTCCTTAGTGCACCAAGAGTTCGGCACAAGACAAACAGCTGGCCCCTCGCTGGAGCGGGCAGGCTCTCCAAGTCGATCACTGAACTGCGGACAGCAGACACAACTGTGCCAAAGTTCTCAATGCCATATTCCCTCAGTATTCCCTCAGCTTCCCCAGCTGATAAATTACCTTGAGTGCTGCTAAAAAGTCGACGAAAATGGCGAAGCCTGTGGCTGTGGCCCGGCCTTGACATCTGCTGTAAGGGGAGACCATAGACACAAGTCAGCAAGTGCAGCAGTGGCAGGTCAGCGCCAGCTATCATCTTTCACAAGCAGTGTGCTGAACTTCTTGACTAATGAGCTGCCAGAAATCTCCACAGGTGTGACAAACATCGACTGGCAAACTCCAGATGAGCAAAGTTTGTTCGCATTATGGCCCAAACCAGGCCATTACCGAGGTGCACTGGATGGAGACTGTGCTGTTGTGCATGGCAGAGACGAAATTTTGAGTCGAAGAAGGCCAGACAAGCATTCCCAACTCTCACCTGCAGCCGCACAGGTCGGACCTCTGTGGCTCGCAGGCACAAGGTCAGAAGGACCAGCCAGCAAAGCGTCCTTGTGGCTTTCCAGTACATCTTGGGGGTTTGTGTGCGCATCTGCAAAGCAAAAAATTGCCATTCAGACCATATGATTTCAAAAACACTCGTGCCAAAGGGGTGCAAATTCGGCCCCATCTTTGCAATTTTGCTCAGGCGTGCATCAACTGGACAGTTGAGATGGCCTTGACTTGCGAGCTGCATTCTCTCTGGGTCGATTGCGGTTTTTGTTCCCAGGTATAATGCAACCTGCAAGCCCCATAGTTATGCAATGCCCCAGGGTTGCATTTCGAGTCGTTCACACACGTACGACAAAGACTATGAGATGAAATTAGCGTTGTATCACAGGATGTAATACATAAGAGAAGCATAAGATAGTTAATAGACTAGGCCATTGTGAGATACACTGGGACTAAGGGCCATGAACCACAGGTCTCACAATGTCGGATCGTTGCCCATCAACACAAAAGGCAAAGGAGAGGGGCGCTGGGATGGGACCTAATGAAGCACTTGTGGTAGAGGTGCCACAACAGCAAATCAGCTGCACGAAAGGCTACTAGGTATATACCCCACAGGCCACCCACGCATGCATGGACACACATTCTCATGAACAGCGATGATCTGTCCACCTTCAGAGTGTTTTCCATCCTTTTTTGTCCATTCAGAGCGCTTTCCACGTTCCGTCCATTTTGAGCACGCTTTTCACGTTTTCGAGCACTTATTCTTGGCAAACATGATGTCGTTGCACCTCACAGGCGACGTCAGGAACACACGTGGTCGAGAGATGCTTCGTCTTCTTGAAGGCGTGCAGGAACGTCTCTTATATTGTTACACAGTACGTCACCCTGAAGAGTCCAGACACCGTCCATACAAAAGAGATGCGGACCTTGAGCCTCCTCACAATAAAGCGCAAGGCGACACAATACGAATAGGATTCATCATCTGAAAATGATTGAGCAATCTCATCGAAGACAAGTTCAGCATTGTGAAGAGGGAGGGGGGGAGATGAATGCTCATTTAAAGAGTCAATGCCTCGTTAGTTCTGACATTCCGAGCGGGCACCGTACGTTGCTTTGGTAGATGGGCTGATAAGGGTGCGTATATCATGAGTGCGGTGTGGGCTCAGGGCTTCGTCTTAGAATCTGTACGCCGTACGGGGATGCCTCCCATTTGCTCTCAAGCCAAACTGCTCTGAAGCGCTCGGTGCCCCCACCACCCAAGACGTGCCAATCAAATCTTCAGCCAATCCATCGTGTGCAGGATGCGGCGGTACCCCACGTTACGGCGTTACGGCGCACCCATCAACGCACCCTGTCAACCTGGTATAAAAAATGCTCGCGGTTGGGCGTCCAACACCCTCGCTGACTAACACGTTTCGTGTGCGCCCTACCGTTTGGCGGCCTGCAGCACACGGCCCCAGCTGTGAACGGCGCCTGCGGCGTCCGCCCCGAAAAAAATTTGGAAACGCGCCGGCGGCGCGCACCCCCCAAGCGGACCCGTCCACAGCTCCCAGCGCGCTGCGAACGGCCGCCAGCGCGGATGATCTGCAGCGGCACCGAAGGCCGCACGCCGCGCGTATGTGCAAGTGCGCACACACGCGCCGCTGCGCCATCACGGGAGGAACATGCTGCAAAAGGTGCGCAACAGGCGCCATCTTGGGCTGATCTGCCGCGGGCGTTTCACCAGAGGTCAGATGCTCGCGCAGTGCGGAAAGGTGGTGTGGACCTTGATTCTCACCTTGCGAGAATAGCACTGATGTGCTGCGTCTGGATTCAAACTAAGCGCGGGGCGCCCTTTTGAGCGGGCTCTGGCGCAGCACCCGCTGCCGCCGCCTGAGTCCTGAGATGCTCAATCGCCGCCGCGGCTCAGAGCTCCGCAGCCGCCGGTGCTGCTCGCCGGCCCGACTGATGACCCAGACCTACTGAAGGCGCCGACCAGACCTGATTCCAGCCGCTTCTGCCCGAATCTGCAGATCCTGCAGCCTTCTTGTCTTCCGCAGAGGCCGTGAAGGCTTCGGCCCCGCGGTTTGGGACTCCCGCCCCGGTCGGCCCCCACGGTGAGGAAGGCGACACTGGCGCCTTTTATGCGCATGAAGACAACCAGGGGTGGTGGGTCCGTGTGAATGTCATGTTCATCTTGAGCGCCCCCTGCCGTGCATGGGTGCTGCTGGTGTGACGGGGTGCCCAACGGGAGGGGCGCTGTGTGACAGTGAGGGGCCGTGCCGAGGCCGCCGGTTCTCGGACGGTTCCCGAACGCTGACTAAGGCGCGGAGCACAGGATGCGGGGTATGCCCTGCGTGGATGCATGGCTGAGTGCGGAGGAATTCCGATTCGAACCGGCCGCCTCCGATTCGATAGGGCCGCGGACCTAAACAAAAGACCCTGCGGGCGCGAATTCTGCGGCTTGAATTTGTTAGAAGAATGGCGGCCCTGAGCGGCACAGGCCCAAACGGCTCGCTATTCGTGGAGATTGGCGCTTCTGTGACAGTGCTTACAGGCATCAGAATGTTACTTGTTGCAAAGCATAAAATGTCCCAAATGCTGGCAGGGAAATTGACCCCCATTTGCAGTGGTCGTTGCCACGCAACGCGTTGACGTTCTAATTTGTAGCCTCTTGCACAGTTGTTGCTCCAAATGCATGGAAAATACTCACTGCTCCCGCAACCATGCTCGCTCGAGTGGTGCACGAGTGCACGCACTTTTGTTGCATTGCGTATGCCAAATCGCCAGAAACTTGCAAACCTGGCACCCTAAACCCACAATCACCAACCCACAATCATAATCTTACGAACGAGAGCGAGTGCCAAAGCTGCGCTCTAAGGCGCCCGCCCCAAGGACGCTAGCACACCTTTCTAAAGCGAAAGGTCACAGCAATCGACACTTTGGTTGGATCGCCACTGGCAGAATTCTCAAATTTGACCTGTCCCCACCCCCACCCCACCCTGCTCGCTTCCAATCAGCGATCAAGCGAGCACTTCAAAGCGATCCAGCGAGGCTCCCATGCCACTTTGTAGTTAAAGACCACAGCGATCGAACCGTTCGGTCAATCGCCACAAAAGCAAGAGGCGCTCCAGAGCTGCCGCCCAGCTTGCTCAAGTCGAAGATCGCAGCGAGCTATTGGTTGCGTCGATCGCCTTGAACAAAGGTTTTCGAAGTGGCTACACCCCAACCCCTCCATCCCACACCGATCCTCCTCCCAAACGCGGCTCGAACCAAGGCCATAGCTATCGCCTGTAGGCGATGGCAATTGCCACCACGGGCCGCTCGCCGCAAGGCAGCCTAGTTGACGCTGCCCACCGCACAGCCCCTTTTTACCAGTTTGTGGTCAAAGGCACGCACATCGCCTGTCACGGAGCCCCTGCCCTCGCTGTAACGCTGACATCATGACGAATGCGTGCGTAATGCGAAAAAGTGACCACGCTCGTGTTTCGCGACGCATCCACCAGTGGCGTTAAGCCCCCCCACTTCTTGGGCATTATTCATGCACCTGGGGACCCTGCTGTGCGCCGAGCGCCGGCAGAGGTAGCCCGGGGGAAGGCAGAGGGTAGCCGGCCGGTGCCCACACCGCGCCTTGCGCGAGGCACAAGGAAGCTCGGGATGGGCGGTGAGTGGCCGGTCGGCACCCATGCCGCGCGCCGCGCGGGGCACATGAAAGCCCGGGGAAGGGCCGGCGTATGCTCAGCCGGCGGTCGGCGGTCGGCTGCCTACCAAAAACCGCAGTTTTGCTCTATAAAGCTCTGCCCACTTTGCTCGCTCGCAATTACATGTAGCCTATCGCGTTTGTGTTGTGTGTATGCCACCCTGGTATATGCACATTTGGAATGTCATTACTTTGCATGACATTATGCACCATTTTCTCCTTCGCCCAAAGACCAACGTGCATTGCAGATCGGCGGCGCTAAATCGAGGTCAGTGTTGCACTGGTGTTTCAGCACACAGGTGTACATGCCAAAGCGAAATCCCCTCGAACTCTCGTCGGAATCATTCCTCAAGTCGCTTTTCTCAGTTGAAGCCGCCAGTGCACTCGGGCGCCGCCTCGGCTCAAAACACATCTTAGGGGTTGGGTTTTGTTGGGCCACACGCAGCATAAAGGGGCCTTCAAAGTAAAGTGCAGCCCCAGCGAACAGAACAAAGCACCAATTGGAGACCATTGGGGTTAGGGCAGGTCGTCACTGACGCAGCACCAGGCTGCACGGAGCTGCACCGAAGCGATGTGACCCCGATAAAGCAGCGGGTGGGCGCCCTCAACCACAGGCGATGCCGTCGGTGCCCCTTGCCGCAGCAGCCCCCCGCATGAGGCAGCGCCGCGCGTAGGCTGCGTTCGACGGGCCGACGGAGGCAGCAGCGTGGCGGTCAGGTGCGTCGCCCACGCCCTGGCCGACAGCGCTTGGCCAGCCCGTGGACCCCTGCAACTTGGAACCATCGACCAGTACCCCGCGCGGCAATTCCCAGGCCCAGAAGAGAGACGCTGAAGGCGGGTGGCGACGCATTACCGGCACTGGAGGGAGGACTCTGGGGGGCTTTCGCAATCCGTCCCAGTAGGTGCGCGCTGCACCCCATTGCTCTGTTGACGTTCCATGTTGGGCGGTTTCGCAGAGTTGTGATTGGGCAGCAAAGTGCGGTCCCTTCGTCGCCACCACTCGCCCGAGTCCCCTGAGATCCTTCTCCAATGGGCGCAAGGCGTCGATTGTCGCGGCAACAGCCGTTCAAACGATCCAGTGGGCTGCAACTCAGCGTCGATTCGCCGACCGGTCGAGAGGGTCCATCGTTCATCACCATTCGGTGCCGTCCAGGGGATACGGAATGCTCAGCAGGGGGTAGGCCAGCCGCGCCCGCGCTCAGCGTCCCAGTTTGTGCGCCGTTTTCAGGGTACGGGCCGGAACTCTGTGTGAGGACAAGACCCAGAATCGGGTGCTCCGGACACGCACTGGACGGCATGGAGCTGGAGGGAAGGGTGAGTCACGGGACTCGATCATGGGGCTCGACGCACAAAAACCGAAACGGGAAATGGAGATTGAGGGCCGGGATGGATGGGGGTGCTATCCTATCCGCGGCCCGCCT